TGAGGAATGGGGGTGTGAATAGAACGTGAAATCCAAGGTTTTGGGATGGTGTAGTTTCCATATGTCGTGGAGGCCTATGTGGAGTAAGAAATTTGAGAGTGCTTTGTCTAATCTTGTGGGGTGGGGCGTAGGCCCAGTCCCGCGAGGTGTGAGTCGTTTCCGGTCTATCTCGGGAGCCATGGTCACGCTAAAGTCCCCTCCTACGAGCAAGTGGTGGGAGCTGAATAGTGTTAGGTGTGCTTTGAGGGTCGACCAGAAGGACGGGTCAGGAGTATTAGGGGCATGGATGGAGGTGATTGCATATTTATGGTTCCCGAATTGGCCTGCTATTGTTAGGTATCTACCTTGGGGGTCTGGAAAGGTGCGTGTGAAGTGTATCGGACAAGATTTATGAATTAGTATGGCCACCCCATTATTTTTGCCATTGTGGGAGTTAGCCAAATGGCATGTGAGGAGTGCTTGTTGCGTAGAGGGAAAGGTCTAGAGTCGTCATAGTGTGTTTCTTGGAGGAGGATTAATTCTGCACTTTAACGAGTCGCCCACCGAAACAGTTGGTGTAGTTTAGTTGGGTTATTGAGTCCCTTGCAGTTCAGTGATATGCAGGAGATTGTTCTAGGCATCTTTGGTGTCTTGGGTGTGGTGAGTATAGGTCGGGCTGGGGTGGACCCGTGGGTCTGGTTCCCTGGTTTTACGGTGGACTGGTTTCAGGAGGGGGGGGGTTGAGGTAAAAAAAAAGGGGGGTGTGGGAAGTCTGTGAGAGAGGAGGAAGGTTTTCACGTTCCCTTCATCTTCCCACCCAGCACGTATTGGGATGTTTCACTCACGGTTTCGTGTATTCGGTGGTGGTGGTCTGTATCAGGGCCGTGTGTGTTCCTTTCCTGTCATCACAGGTGAGATATAGAAGTTGACTGGTGTCTGTTATGGATGTCTTGGTGTGGAGTCATTGGTCCCGTGGGGAGGTCTGTTGGTGTAGGGTTCATTTGTGGTTTGGGTGCAGGCCTCCAGTCCTCAAGCAGTAAGGTGCTAAACTGGACATAAGCGTAGATATAAACATATGTTTACAGAAGCATAACAAATTAATAATAAACATAGAAACATAGAAACATAGAAACATAGAAACATAGAATGTGACGGCAGATAAGAATCATTCGGCCCATCTAGTCTGCCCAATTTTCTAAAAACTTTCATTAGTCCCTAGCCTTATCTTATAGTTAGGATAGCCTTATGCCTATCCCATGCATGCTTAAACTCCTTTACTGTGTTAACCTCTACCACTTCAGCTGGAAGGCTATTCCATGCATCCACTACCCTCTCAGTAAAGTAATACTTCCTGATATTATTTTTAAACCTTTGTCCCTCTAATTTAAGACTATGTCCTCTTGTTGTGGTAGTTTTTCTTCTTTTAAATATAGTCTCCTCCTTTACTGTGTTGATTCCCTTTATGTATTTAAATGTTTCTATCATATCCCCCCTGTCTCGTCTTTCCTCCAAGCTATACATGTTAAGATCCTTTAACCTTTCCTGGTAAGTTTTATCCCGCAATCCATGAACCAGTTTAGTAGCCCTTCTCTGAACCCTCTCTAAGGTATCAATATCCTTCTGAAGATACGGTCTCCAGTACTGTGTACAATACTCCAAGTGAGGTCTCACCAGTGTTCTGTACAATGGCATGAGCACTTCCCTCTTTCTACTGCTAATGCCTCTCCCTATACAACCAAGCATTCTGCTAGCATTTCCTGCTGCTCTATTACATTGTCTGCCTACCTTTAAGTCATCAGAAATAATCACCCCTAAATCCCTTTCCTCATATGTTGAGGTTAGGACTCTATCAAATATTCTGTACTCTGCCCTTGGGTTTTTACGTCCAAGATGCATTATCTTGCACTTATCCACATTAAATGTCAGTTGCCACAATTCTGACCATTTTTCTAGTTTACCTAAATCATTTGCCATTTGGCTTATCCCTCTTGGAACATCAACCCTGTTACATATCTTAGAATCATCAGCAAAAAGACATACCTTACCATCAAGACCTTCTGCAATATCACTAATAAAAATATTAAAGAGAATGGGTCCAAGTACAGATCCCTGAGGTACCCCACTGGTGACAAGTCCAAGCTTCGAATATATTCCATTAACTACAACCCTCTGTTGCCTGTCACTCAGCCACTGCCTTACCCATTCAACAATATTTGAATCCAAACTTAAAGATTGCAGTTTATTGATAAGCCTTCTATGTGCAACAGTGTCAAAAGCCTTACTGAAATCTAGGTAAGCAATGTCTACTGCACCACCCTGATCTATAATTTTAGTTACCCAATCAAAAAAATCAATAAGATTAGTTTGGCATGATCTCCCTGAAGTAAACCCATGTTGTCTCTGATCTTGAAATCCATGTGTTTTTAGATGTTCATCAATCCTATCCTTTAACATGGTTTCCATCACTTTCCCCACTACTGAAGTAAGGCTTACTGGCCTATAGTTGCCCGACTCCTCCCTATTACCTTTCTTGTAAATGGGCACAACATTCACTAACTTCCAATCTTCTGGGACTACTCCTGTTAACAATGATTGGTTAAATAAATCTGTTAATGGTTTTGCTAGTACACCACTAAGCTCTTTTAATAGCTTTGGGTGTATTCCATCAGGTCCCATTGACTTATTTGTCTTTACTTTTGACAGTTGAAATAGAACCTCTTCCTCTGTAAACTCACGTGTAATAAATGACTCATTTATCCTTTTTCTCAACTGAGGTCCCTTTCCTTCATTTTCATCTGTAAATACAGAACAAAAATATTCATTGAGGCAGTCAGCCTGACCTTTATCCTCTTCTACATACCTTCCTTCTTTTGTTTTTAATCTAACTAATCCTTGTTTTACTTTTCTTTTCTCATTTATGTATCTAAAAAATGTTTTATCCCCCTTTTTTACTGACTGTGCTATTTTCTCTTCTGTGTGTGATTTGGAAGCTCTTATAACTTGCTTAGCCTCTTTCTGCCTAATCTTATAGATCATTTTGTCTCCCTCACTCTGGGTTTTTTTATAATTCCTAAATGCTAACTTTTTGTTTTTAACTATTTTGGCCACATCTGCGGAGTACCACAGTGGTTTCTTGAATTTTTTGCTTTTACTGACAAGCCTAATGCAATTTTCTGTTGCCTTCAATAGTGCAACTTTTAAATAATCCCATTTTTCTTGGACTCCATTTAAATTGCTCCAGTCTGATAATGACTCCTCTACCCATATTCTAATTTTAGAAAAGTCTGTTTTTCTAAAGTCTAAAACTTTTGTTTTTGTGTGGTGTGACTCAGTCACTGTTCTTATATTAAACCACACTGACTGATGATCACTGGATCCTAAACTTTCACCTACAGTAACATCTGATACCAAATCTCCATTTGTAAACAACATTGAACAATCTGAAGTTTCAGTTTGTTTTACCCGCGTTTGTGGCTGTCAGTACGATATCTTAGGGATACTTAATGAAAGGTTAGGTCACCGTTTATTAATGGTTTCAGCTGTGGGGGTCACCCGGTCTCTGCGTGTAGGCCTTATGGGGCTGTCGTTTGTTGGTTAGGGTGTGGTGGTACGTCTGGTCATTCCAGGTGGGGAGGGGGGAGTTAGGGTCACCTTTTGGGGGTGTCCTGTTCACATGGTCATGTGGGAAATGGTGAGTGGTAGGGGGCTGTCGGGGGGTTAGGGTTTGTCCGGCTATGTTGTGTTCTGAGTGTGAACGGACTTTGTTAAGCCCATAGGAAGACATGTCATCTTTATATAAGAATCTAATGGATAGTACCTCAAGCATAGAAGAGCTATTCATCCGTTAGGGGTTCTCCAAAGTATTTGCATCCTTCAACTTTTTAGTTACATACCGTCCTGAGACAAGTCCCAGCTATAATGTAAGCTAGCTGTAACACCGCATATTGTAAATTGAAATAGGGTTTATTTATTTTTTGGGGGGGGGGGATTTGGTAGATATATAGATCATTCTGTGCTCTTTTGTTAAACTGCCTGCCTATTGAACTAGCCGACCTATGCAGTGTAATATCTAGTGACTCCTGGAGCTGTAGGAATCTCCCAGGAGTGTCCTTGTTGTTTATAGGCAGTTGAAATATCTTTATATTGTAACCAATACTTATAGGTAGGGTTTTCGTAGATAGAGGGTGTTTCTTAATGGTCAATGTTATTGGACTTCAACAGAGTGAGTAAAAGAGCCTTATTGCAAAAGGTAGGTATATGGGTCGGTTCGATTCTTCTATAGGGAGAGACAGTTTAGAGGAGTACCTCTCGGATGGCATGCATATACATTTAAGGTGTTTGGTGGATTAGTGTGTTCTAGTAGTAGCGAGTGTCTAGGATTCTTTCTGGCTCGGTCTGTCCCGTTCCCAAAATCATAAGGCCCTTCCCGGGTCCCCAACCCTCACCACCAAGTCCCGGTATACTTGCTTTGGTCCATTGGGCCCTGAGGATGATTCCTGTCTTTGTAGCGGGGTTGGTGAGGGTGGGAGCCGGCTTACCTGGTGCAGTGGTTTTGCTTGGGTGACGGTGAGTTCGGTCCTGGTGACCGGTGAGTTTGTTTGCCTCCATGGGGGCCGGTGAAGGGTGGTCCAGATTTGCAAGTTGGGGACATGGCTTGAAGGTCGGGGGGCAGCCCGTCTGGGTCCCTGAGAGGGGGCACGGGCAGGAGCATAGTGTTGAGGATGCAGTTGTATTCGGGTTCGGGGGTCCAGTCAGGTGGTTTCAGACTGTGTGCAGGCGTAGTGCACTTCGGCTCGGCTTCAGAGGTGGTGGTGGGGGGAGCGAGGTAATTGGAAGGAGTCTAGTCAGCCGGGTTTGGTGGCCTCAGGGTTAAGGGTGTCACTTGATGGGGTGGGGGAGAGTACCTTGGTATGATGGAGTGCAGCGTGTTGCGGGTACTTCAGTCACAGGGTGAGTGGAGCAATTACCAGTCCTGGGTGTGACCGGCCTCCGTATGTTCGTGTGATTGCGGCCTTTTCTTCTTAGGTTGGCGCGGAGATCAGGGCCTCTTGCCGATCGGGCGACTGTCGGTCCCTTGTCTGAGTGCAGGGAAGTGCTGCGCCAGTTGTACTCCCAGTGAGTCGGCAAAGGGGATCATATCCGTGCTGTTGGAGGGCCAGAGTAAGGGGCTTGAGATCCCGCCGTTTCTTCAAGGTTGATGGGGCGAGGTCCTGAAAAAAGGTAAGATGGTGCTCTTTATACTTGGGCTGCTTGTGCCTGGCCATTTGGATCAGTTTTTCTTTTGCCGGGAAGTGGTGGAGGCACGTGATAACATCCCTGGGGGTGGCCTGGTTGAGGTTTGGAGGCTTCAAGGCCCGGTGAGCCCTGTCCAGTTCCAGGTCTCTGGAGGTGAGGTCCGGGGCTATATCTTTGAAGATACTTTTCAGGGTGGGTACTAATTGTTCCAATGTGACCGTCTCGGGTAGGCCGCGGATCCAGATGTTATTTCTCCGTGACCTATTATTGAGGTCCTCCATGTTGTCCTCCAGGGTAGCAATCTTACCATGGAAATAGGCAATATCTTGAGCGTGTTCTGCTGTGGTCGTCGTTAGCTTGGAGATTCGAGTCTCTGCTTGGTCTGTTTTGGAGGTTAGTGTGGCCACATCAGCTTTGAGGCCCTCAAGCTGCTTGGTTATTTCTGCCGCTACGTGGGATTTTATGTCCGAGGTTGCCTCATGTAACATGCCCCGGAGGATGCCGATGGTAAGTGGGGCCGTCGGGTCAGATGAGGGGATGAATTCGTCGGGTTCAGAGTCCTCTTCTTCCATGAGTTGGGAGTCATTAGGCCTCTGTGAGGTGTTTGGCGTGCGGAAGATCGTTGCGACCGAGGGGGTCTGATCTTTCTTTTTTTCCCCGCCTCCCATAGTTTCGGGTGTCGGGCAGGTTGTCTAGTGTCATACAATGTTGTTTTTGAGTGGTTGTGACTAAGGAAAATTCCGATGGTAGCAGATTAACGTGCTGTGGGGCGAGAGAGCTCAGGAATCAGTCGTCCATCTTCCTTCGAGGTCAGGCTCCGCCCCCCGTAATTACAATTTTTAAAGTAACTTTGCTGTTACTTTAAACCATTGGATTCGAGTAAATCAGCTTCCAAGCATTTATAAAATTTAAGATTAACCTAGAAATATGTACTTGGGTACTTGAACTCTATTTAAATAAGACAAAACAAAGAGTACTTGCCATTGACTAAAAAACAATGTGCAGAAACCCTGAGAAAATACAACTAAGCTAAAATCTGTATAAAAACAGCGAACAATGGGATAATTACAGCTGTAGATCTACAAATAAAATAAAGAAACAAAAGAAGAACAAATATAGGGTAATACTGTATTACATAGAATAATTGTGCAAAATAAGGTAGCACTCACAGAATGAAGTATGATAAATGTCCTTAGGGTTACTCCCCCGATATGTGTGGGTGGCTAATCCGAAATGCCTTCCTTCACTAGTGTTGCAAGTATTGTGAGTCGGACTCAGGTATTCAAGTTAGAAAAAAACTTCTATTTATTGTTTAAAATAGTGTTTAAAATCACTTCAAATATAAAAGAATATTAAATACAAAAAAAAGTTGCTAGGAGTAATCCTACATGTTTCATCCCAAAGGGACTTCCTCAGGAACCTCCAAATATAGCAACAATCACAAAGAGTACAATATAAAATAACGTATAACAGAATTATACAAATCATAAGAGGCAGCAGTATACAGTTTAAATATGGCTTCTGTATCTTCCTATTGGATAATCCAAATAGGTTCCAGCTGACAGTATTCAGTTATAATTAATGTTTCTTTGTTTTCCCGGTTCGTATTTCGGATCTTCTGATGTCATTTCCGGCGCATCTATCTTCCCTGGCGTTATATGATGACGTGTGCGTTCCACATGGCCATTAGTATGCGTTTCACTTTTGGTATATATAGTGGATACCTATTATTTATAAGCTTATCACTCAGAAAAAAAGGATACAATCAACATAAACCTGTGAATAAATTAGCTCATACAATCACATTAGGTTAGACATCAAGGACATATATTTCCCCTATGGAATAAAAGTTCTGATCGAAAAAATTAATAATGATAACATTAGAAAACGATTGCTATGATGTCTATGTGGAATAAAATCCATTTGGGGATAGATGTCCAGATATTAACCCAAAACAGAGTGTATATTTTGTACCTAGATTGTAAAATATGGAAACACTCTACAAAATAATGAGATATATGAAAAAATAAAATAAAATAAAAATAAATATGAAAAAATAAATAAATATAAATTTCACCATAAAAATAATAATATGATGGAGCATATAAATAAATAAAAATGAATAGTAATACAAATAATAATAATTGAAATGAAAAAAAGAATATGAAAAAATAGTAGACTGTCTCCATTTACATTATAAAAAGAAAATAATATCAATATTAGCATTAAGACCTCCAGGTTCTAGAGTACTTAACTGGTGTATCCAGAAGGTCTCTCGCTGGGCTAGTTTGTCCTCCCTATTTCCACCTCTCCAATGGGGCTTAATATGTTCAATGCAGGTGAAATTAAGTTATTTCCAGTGGAATGAAGGGAATGTTACAATGTTAGTTATTCTTTTTCTGATATTATTATGATGTTCAAGAATCCTAATTGTTTATTTTCTTTTAGTTTTTCCCACATATTGTTTGCCACACGGACATTGCAGTAGAAATACCACATAGTCCGTGTGGCAGTCAATAGCTTTCTTGTTCTTATATTTTTTACCGGATACCGTACTAGAGAAATCCCTTTTAATTCCTGTTGTTTTGACTGTTGTTTTACACGCTTTGCAATCCAAGCAACCTCTAAAACCAGATGATTTTTATCTTGTGTGAATTTTCTCATTGGGTTTAATGCTGTAACTTGGGGCCAGGGAGTTTTTTAGATTTGTATTCATTTATATTTGAAGTTTTTAAACACTATTTTAAACAATAAAGATCAGCTTTTTACTACTTTGAATACCTGAGTTCGGCTCACGATACTTGCAACGCTAGTGAAGGAAGACGTTTGGGATTAGCCCCCCACACATGTCAGGGGAGGCACCCTTAGGCGACTTATCATACTTCATCCTGTGAGTGCTACCTTATTTTGCGCTATCATTCTTTGTAATACAGTGTTACACTATATTTGTTCTTCTTTTCTTCCTTATTTTATTTGTATTATTTTTTTATACCATTTTAAAGGAATATAGTCTGGGATATTCCTGGAGAAGGCTGTCAACACTATCCATAGAGATAAATGTTTATTTTCATCACACTGTCAATTTGCTTTAAGTGGACATGAGATTTTGTTGTTTAAGTTAAAATCTGTGCCTGAAGAACCTATGACTAATCATTTAAGTAAAAAAATTGCACAGATGTACTAGGCATATGACATTCAGGTAAAACACAAAGAATGTTATGACAGAATGAGTCACCTCAGATGATTTTGAGACTGGTACCATAATGAAAAAGGACTCTGGGGGATGTATATCAAAGTGTTCTGAAAAGTGACAGGTACGTTCTGTCATGATTTTAAAAGTATTTATTCAAGTAATCTAAAAAGTGAATGATTTGTTTATAGTAAGATCCACCAGTTTTCGCTGAAATTTCCATTTCAATAGCCTGCCAAATTTATAGTGGTGGAAAAGTGCATATATTTGTTGCGTCATGAATATAAGGGGCGCATAATCAAAAGGGAGCAAAGAAATCGACAATTGAAAAAAAATCCACAGATTAAATAAATTGTTCCAAAAATGCCAAAACATTTAGACAGAAATGTTTTGGCAATAGTTTGATAAATCTCCCCCCCGTCTCTCTTGTCCATTGTGCTGCTTCATATGAACATATCATTCAGTTTGCTCATACACCCCCTGTTTCAGAATGACATCATACCTTTAAGCCTTTCAATGGAAAACACATTGCGCACTGTGTACCGCGGTTGAATGATGAATCTCTTTGTGTATCAAAAGGCAAGCTTACCTGAGCACAATTATTATTATTATTATTTTATTATTTATATAGCGCCATAAGATTCTGTAGCGCTGTACAATGGGTGGACTAACAGACATGTAATTGTAACCAGACAACTGGACTTACAGGAACAGAGAGGTGGAGAGCCCTGCTCAATGAGCTTACATTCTAGAGGGAGTGGGGTATAATGACACAAAGGGTAAAAGTAGGGGTATGAAGGAGGTTGTTAGAAAAGTATTCACTGAGAACTTGGTAGGTCATTTTTGACAGTTGCAGGAGAGGAGTCATGGAGGGTGGGGGATAAAAACCTGCTAACAGTTTAATTGATATGCTTTCTTGAAGAAGTGCGTTTTCAATAATTTTTTGAATGAGTGGAGACTGGGTGAAAGTCTTATGAAGAAGGGAAGGGAGTTCCACCGAAGAGGTGCAGCCCTGGAGAAATATTGGAGGTGAGCATTAGAGGTGGGAGTACGGACAGAGGACTGTGTACCACAAATGCATGAATCAGATCTTCACAAGAGTCTTCTACACAGCAGCAAGAAATTAGCAAGAGGCATTGCTCAGTATGTATTATATTTGGGAATATGAGATACTGATCATGATGATTAGTGCAATAGGCTATTCCAGCATTGACATAAATCATGTGTTGTTGTTTTTGGAGTACGGTATATATTTTATTGGCAAAAAAAATGCTGTATTTACAAGTACTGATGCTTTCATATATTGTCAGTGAAAGACAGCTTTATAACACAAATTAGCACCACTGCTATCTTTTAACCCTTCATTAAACTCCTGCAAACTTGGACCAGCATTTAGTAGAATGAATAATGGCCTGTTACAAGCATATACAATGTAATAATAAGTTAAATGGCAAAAATAAAAGATTTCTATGTTCTCTTCTCCAAAGCACATTGGAAAAAATAAATTCAACAAGGAACAAGATGAAAATAAAAAAAAAGAGAGAAAGCAGGATATTTATCCCGAGGGCTTTCATTAATTGACTCTCTGGAATCTGTATCACAGAAGGTCACTGCTTTATAAAGCAGCAGGATTTATAGGTGGTAAAATAATCAATAGGAGCAACAATTCATAAATCCGGTAATAATTAAGGTACCATGCCTTATGAAAGATAGGCTAAAACTGAAAATACTGCATCTATAAACCTGTCACGGCTGCCACTTCGGTACCTAGAGATGATGGAGCTGCTCCCGGCAGGCCTTACACTCCAGGACAGAGCTGCTTAAAACACTTTTATTACATATATTGTTGTTTTTTTAATACTTGTTTATGAAACTCACTGTGTTATGTTCACCCTGGAAAAAAAAACAACAAAAAAACCCAGCAGACAAAACTTAAGGGACGTTTGGTTCACTTTGATTGTCAAAGACAGAAAGGAGTGGGCATGATGTTTATATTTTAATATTTAAATATTACTACAATGCTCTCCACAACAACGGAGATTTGAAAACTTGACTGAAAAGTTGCAGATCGAGGTAGATGACTAGAGCGGCAGTAGGGTATGCTATTGTAGCAATTATTTTTATTGATGACACATGCAGCTGTGAAAAGGACTGTGAAAAGGACTCGTCACCCAGGGCACAGTTATAATTACAAAGATTTATATAGTGCCAACAGTACAACACATGTTTGAAATATGAAAACAATAGATGAAGAGGGCCCTGCCCAAAAGAGCTTACAATCTAAAAGGCACATGTGACTGGGAGACCCACAAAGCAACCAATCAGGGCTGCCTATGATTTAGTAGATGGAGCCAAGAGTTCATAGTGTTAGTTTTTTTTTTTACCTGTTTCTAAAAGCTAGATACCAAAAATAAACAAAATCATGGGGGATGGGTTCAATATTGTCCAGTAAATCCAGAACTTGGAAGGTAAATTCCA